CCACTGCCGCCGCTTCGCGGCGAGGGATGAAGATCAGCGCACTACGAGCGATGTCAGGGCTGCTGCCGCCGTCGGTTAACACGCACAGGTTCACACCCATCCTCGCTGATACCTTCTGAAAACTCTGTACGACATCGCGCGAAACGAAGAGGATCAGTTTCGAACGACGAAATTGGTCGTTGTCGAGTTACGGTAGTGAATAATCGATGCGATCGAAGCGTGTTTCGGTATCGGTGAAAACGATTGTAATCGAAGAATAGAGAAAAAGTGTTCTAACGTGCATCGGAACAGAGAGAGAGAGAGAGAGAGAGAGAGAAAGAGAGAGAGAGAGAGAGAGATAGAGGGAGGGAGTACACATAGTAGGGTGGCTGGATTGCGCGAGATCCGATAGCAGGATCGAAGGTAAAGGAAAGAGACACAAAGAAGAATAAGAGAGGAGAGAGGTTAAGCGTGTACATAATTCGGATAAACTCGACAGGAACATTTAGCGCGAAAGTAGTAGTGGAGACGTGTGTGTGTTAATCGTTCGAGCGAGAAAATTCATGTTTGGTCCTGCGTGCGATCGGGATGTCGTAAGTGTCCTTCCTGGAGGGTGGGTGGAAGGGAGTGTGCAAGGGTGGGAGGGAAAGAAGATAATTCGGAGAGGAGTGCATATATGGGTTTCGACGTTGAAAGAGAGCGTGTTTCACTTAGTGTGCGTATCATCGAAGTAAGCGATGAGGCTAGCCGTCGAGGAGAATTCGTTGGTCTCGTCGAATCGAGACTCGTTGCACGGATGCCACTTGCAAAGACCCATGCGCTCAAGGATGCAAGCAATCAGGATGAGCAAACCGAGCGAGGAGTCGCATTCGGTGGAAGCTGTAATCGATAAGCTTGGACTCGAGAGATTCTGAACTCTGTGATCATTTGTGGAAGGCGACATTGTTAGTTGAGGATGTAGGGGGGCCCACGCTCGGGGCCCCAGTGAGGGTTTCCTCCGGACTCTTGTCACGCTCGCGTTCAAACAACTAAAGAGAGGCGTGTATCGAGATACTTTGCAAGATCTTCTTGCAACCGTCGCGTCGAATCGAATTCCAGTCGATTACCTGTAATCGAAGCGAAGCGAGGCGTTTCAAGATCGTTTCTCTTCAACCGGACCGGAAATAAAACAGGCTGAATCTTTTTATCGAAAGGAACGATCAGCAGCCGATCGAATATTTTGAAAGAATATCTCGTCGATAGTCTTCTCGTCGTTCGTAGTCGTTATATCGGTGTACGTTGACGCAACAGCCTTAGTAATCGTTAGTGAAGTTTGAAATTGCCGCGCGACTCGACGAATCAACCGATCGAAAACTGTGTTCGAAGTCATCGAGGATGTGTTCGCGTTTACGGAAAACGTAGGTGTTGCTAGCGGAAATATAGGTCGCCAAGTCGATAGTAGCATGGAACGCGAGGATGCAAGAGGAGCAGCAAAAAGAATGGAACGCGATAACGACGTTAATAACGGCCGATCGTTTTTTCGGTGATGATGGGGCGTCTTCGCGTGTCGTCAAGTTTAATCGTGCACGTCGCGTCAAGATTCGGCCGAGGTGTCGTTCTCTCCTTGTAATCGAGTAGACCAGCGTCTATCATAGAAGCCAGCGAAAATGGTCGATTTAGGGGGATACATTATCATACTGATCAACCACAATGACAAGATCAAACTGTACGGTGAGCATCGATTGCATCGTCGAGAAACAAGCGCTTCGTTCGTCTCTGCAAAGCGAGAAACTCTTCTTTTTCTCTTTAATTAGTACTGGCCTATATCGCTTAAGGACTGTCGGAATAGTCGGTTATTAAGCACGTACGCGTTTAAACGCGAGAACCTTTTATTCAGCTTTCTATTAGTTTTTCATTTAGAGAACGACATTACGTCGCGGATCGTCTGTTTCGTGCAGCCTCTATCCACTGTCCGATCAAACGTCTTTTCTCTACTTGAACGTTTACGTTGATCGCGCTCTCTCGTTGTACCGTATTTCGGTTTCGCGCGGCGCGGCACGGCGCGGCACGGCGCAGCGATTTAAATTATTAGAAAGAAAAAGTGTTGTCTACTAATTAGAATCGGTATCGAATATGCCACAGGTTCACCGGCCGACAACGCGGACACGTTGGAAGTGGCCGATGAAATTTTACAAGTCAATGGTAGTACGTTGGAAAATGCCAGCCAATCCGAAGTCATTCAATACATATATCAGGTACGCGAAAGATTTCTTAATTTAATCTTTAATAAAATTTCTTCAAAATATTTATGATCATTTTGAAGAATATGGGTCGGCAAATGATCGAGAGAGGTCGATCGATTAATCGTTTTTTTTTCTGTCTCAGTGCATCGAATCGCGAACGATATGTCTGCGAGTACGAAGGAGAAGCGGAAACAAGATGGGTGAGTATCCTTTGAAACTGTCGTATTCTGTACGTTTTATCGTCGAAATAATTCGAAATAAGAAATTACGCGGTTAAATTCGAATGGTAAGGGCTGTCGGTGAAACTGTCGCATACTAGGTCAGAAGATTGGGAACGCCGCGACTCGATCGCTATCGAATTTCGATATAATTTTCGATAGTTAACCGTTCGACTACGTCGTACGAGCGATTCCGTCGAAATATCCGTTCGATTTGGAGGTGGCGCAAAATAGCGATCGACGATAGCGAATCGTTTGGAAGTTCGAAGATGGTTGTTCAGAATTGAAAGCGTGTACGGTCGCGCGAACGATCGGCCGATTTCGTGTTTCCTCGTGCGGTTCCGGCGTTCGCCAGGTAAACGTCGTTCAGGTGGTCGGTCGTGTGTACCAGTCACGATAGAAGGGGGAAATGGGAAACAGCGGAGAGAACTCGGCGAGAGGCGAACAGCGCATTCGAACCGAGCGAATCTAACCTTCGAATGTGTCCGCTGTCAGCTAGTACGGAACCGTGGCATTCCGCGCACTCTTACCATCCTCCTAACCTCTTGGGTTTTCCGCGTGGTTGCCAGTGTAATTCCGCAGGACGTTGCGCTTAACCAGGAAATATCATTGGCGGGAGTGCGTGTAAGTGCGTGGTCGAGCGTTGCGCGTTCGTGGCCGTTTCCGTGTCTCCTCTCTGTCAACGAGTACGCGCGGTCGTTTTACCGGTCGGGAAGAACCGGGACGACGAGCCAGATGGCAGCTGGGTGCGTCGACGAATCTTGTAGGATCCGGAGGATGCGAGATTATCCGAGTCCCGAATCGTTCGACGATCTCTAGCCATGTACCGTTAATCGTCGATCGCGGTCGAGGAGTCGTCGTCGATACGCAAGGTGATTGCTTCTCTTTTCTCTTCTTTCCGCCGTATTTCTTATATTTCCTTCAGTGCCGTGTGTTGCTTTTTAAGGCCACGTCTCGTTCGTCCTCCGCGCTCGACTGTTGCGCAATCAACGTTTGTTCCCCCGCTGTTTATACGGGCCCGTATCTTCAACGAACGAGAGAAATGCGTTTTCGTAAAGTCGCCGTGTTCGTCGCGTTCGCCGCAAGAGAGGAGGCGAGCGGCGGTCGGCAATGTGTCATCGTTACGTGACACGTTAACGGCAATCTTTCTGTCCGCGCAAACGGAGACGAGGAATCCGTCGCGATTGCAGTTTCCGAGCAGCGTCGCTATCGGTGTCGGATTAGAATCGTTGCCGACTGGTTCGCGGGGACAAAGGTTCGTGAGCGACTGAATATCGTTCGACAGACTCTCGAGCTACGTTCGAAACGAGTTTCGCGTTCGCATCGGCGAGGAAAAGGAATCGAGGTGTGTTCTTTTTTCGTTTCTTCTCCCCTCTCTTCCTTTCTCTTTTGCGTGTCTCTCGTGTCTCTCGTGTCTCGAAGTGGCAATAAAACGAGAAAAGTTGCGCCGAATCGATAATCGATTTATTTTATTCGATTATTCGATGGTCGTCGAGCACCGTTATACACCTGATCTGTCATTTATCGAGCGCGTTACGCACGAAGCCAGGAGGGATTACGTATCGAAGATTTATGAAACTATCTTGTTTCTCGATTTTGCGATTCGTAGGTTCGCGTTAGAAACCGCGCGTCGAAGTTGATCGAAATCGGTAATTGTTTAAACGTTAATACGGTTCTCTTTCGATCGTTATTATTCGTTGTCGCGTAACGAAATTGACGATCGTCGAGTGGTAGCGTGCTCTTTCGTTTCACCGGTAATTAACCGGCTCTTTCTAAAGCGAATAACCTTTAATGGTCGAGGAACTCGAAGAGAGGGTGAAAAAGCGCGCGCGTTAATAGCGGGGGAGGTCTGGTAAAAGTGTATCGAATCGAAATTGAATCGGGAACGGGAGAATTTCTGTTGTGCTCGAAATCGATAACCGGATCGATACACTTTCGTTCGTAACGTATCTACCGGTCGAGCGATAGTTAAACGAGATAAAAACTACGTCTGAAAATACTGTCGCGGAATCGATAGAATCTGATAGGGAATAGAAGACGTCGGATATAAGTTTGGTCCGAGATATAAGCCGTGATACTGTTTCGGTAGCGAGTAAGAATCGAAAGGCAAGGAAGGAAGCCGGAAATGGTCGGCGAACGGTTAATCGAGTCTAGATCGCGAATTCGTTGCTTCCGAGGAACAGGGAAGAGTTGCACGCGTTACGAGCACGGGACAATTACTGGATGCCGTGGCGAGTGAAACGGTTAGAAGAAACGTAGGAAGGAAGCGAGAAAGAAAAAAAAAAGTAACTTGTGGAAAGGAGAGGATAGTGGCGTGTACCGGTCGTCGTGGAAGGTATAAGAGGGTCGCGCGAGAGCGTGTGTAGGAGTTGAACGCGGGCGTAAATGCACGGCGAAGGGCGAGAGAGGAGAAAATAGATCGCTGGAAAATATATTTATGCTTGGCTCGTTTGATTATCAGGTCATCCTATGATACGAATTTCCCTTGGTATTTTTAGAAGACTCGCTTTTACTGTGCGCTACAAATACGCGATCAATGAAGCAATTAAATCTCTCGGTTTTAGCTTTTTAAATCTCTCGGATACGTACGTAAGGTGACGTCCGATCTCCAGTTATTTCCATAACTTTGATATCGCGATTCGATTCTACGATATTCTGCGATATTCTGCGATATTCAATGTCGAGTGGTAGTCGCTTTATCGTCCCATTTTTAAACGTTCGTCGGTGAAAGACATTGGTTTTTTCTTCTTTTTAAACGTTAAATCCAATTCGTCGTGACGCAGGGAAAAGAGAACTTTTAACGAAACATTTGAAATCGTTCGAAATCGCGTAGAGGCGCGATTTAATAACTACGGAGAATTCCTGAAATACTTTGTTCGAGGCTGATGGTAGCGCTTCCTCGTTAGAGCGTGAAAGCAAATTCGATTAACGAGATGACCACTTTCCTTTACTCGCTGCGGAGTAAATTCGATCGACGCTTCTCGATAAGATCTCGAACCGTTAAGAGTGGAAAACGCGTCCTCTAAATTGCCGTGGCCGTGGTCGAATAATTTCGAACGCTTTACGACACTTTACGACACGATCAAAGGATCTTTGGTAGGAAGGAACGATACCGAAAAAGTAATCGCGCGTTCGACTTGGTTCGATACTCTAGTCTAGGTTGGCAGGCAACTTTCGAAGACGCTACCACGTTCGGACAATTAGCATTGGCGTAAAAGTGCGTTGACCCCTCTCTCTGTCTCTGTTCATTTTCACCAGCCATACCAAAACGGTGGAACGTTTCCAAATATAAACCCCGTAGTTGCTAGCAGCGCCGATGCTACTCGTTCCTGTCCCTGCTCGTACAGTTTATTTTCTATGGTCTGGCGACACGTGTGCGAGACGTCGTTCTTCGTTTCTCGCCGATTTTCCTCGCTTTTCACCCGCTTATTAACTTTGTTCGCCGTTTAGCCGTTTATCGAGTTCGCGAGTTCCTTTGTTCGCGGACCATGAAGAGAAGGAAGTAGAAGAATAGCTGAAAGAGAGGATAGCACGAAGATGTCGAGGTTCTTCCGTAGGATGCTTCTCTGCGGGTGTTTGTCCCGGCCCGGAATCGACGGACGAAGGTTCG